CCCGGCCCCGCCGGCCTGCTCGCGCCTTCCCCCTCACAAGCTGTGTAATGGCGCCTCCTGCCTACCGCCACAAGGAAGCGGCCTCTCCCTGCAAGCTCAGCCGACGAGCTTTTCCATGTTATCCCACCGAGCTCCTTCCCTGCGGGACAGGCAGGGAGCAGCGGGGCGGCCGCGGAGCTCCGGCCCTGCCTCACACCAGGGCCGCAATAGCTCTCTCAGGATGTGGATGGGGATGGGGAGGCACCCCCAGAACACAACGGAGCGGGGCAATCACACCCTATAACCAGTTCTCCCCTCTGTGCATCGCAGAAACTGCAGAGATCCAGAGTTCAGTGGAGATGCCATGGGAGCTGAACTCCGTTTGCAGGCCCACCTTAGGGTAGATGCTGTCTGCAAGGGCCCTGCCTCCTCTTGGGTTATCATCTTCCTCTGCTTCCTGCCTGCAGACCAAAGAAAACCCCAGGCACAGGTAACAGCAGCCACCTTGGTCACTGTCCTTGGCCAGCATCTGGCAATTCTTGAGCCTCAGCACTATTTGGTGGCTATGGAACATAAGCGAGTCCTCAAACTGGGGGCAGAGTTTTCCAGAGACAGTGACTACAGAAGAGGGGGAAACTCAGAAAACGATGATGTTTTTCATGCCATTCTGATTCTGTTGCACACAGCTTCAGTACAGTAAAAATTAAATTAGTTTTAAACAAGTGGCTTTTCACAGAATAATGAGGTACCCAGTCTTCTCTAGAATATATTTTGGTACAAGTTATTTGCTAATATGTGTAAGGGAATCTGCTTTCATGTCTAGCCACAGTTGCTTTATTTTTTTCACTACGTATCAATGTGGCTCAACCAAAACTCAGTCCAAATAAGAAAGAAAATGTTAAGCATTCTGGTCTGCCATACTTAACTCTGCAAATTTCTGATTTTGTCAGTGTCAAAGGTTTTCCTTGTCAATTAAATGTCTAATACTTCCACTAAGCATGATATGAAGTGTAAATATTGTAAATATAATTAGGACTTCTATAGATGCTTTTAAACATGAGGTATAAGAAACAGTCCTGGTTCCACTCAGTTAAGTTTTTCAGTCCTGTGAATGATATCTAGCTGTTCTATGAATGCTGATGAAACTGAAATGCATAGACATACCATAACTGCAAGCATTTGGATCAGCATATAAAACAAATGTTTTCAGAATCTCCAAGACTCACACTCCACAACGCTTGGCCTGTCTTTTATAAATACAGTGAACTCAAGGAAGAATGTGTAAACTCTTCCTTCACACACCTTTGCCCTGATTTTCTCCTTAGTAAAGGAAGAACCTCAGCTTAACCTTAGCAGTTACATCTGTGGTGACTGTACATCTGCAGCTTTTCAAAAGACAGTTGCTCTCTCTCAGGCTCTTCCTTTAGGTCCTAAAGGAACACAGACCATGGACTAAATGTGATTTAAATGGAGGCTTTCCCACCAAGGTGGAAAAAGATACCTTATTCTCAACAATGATACCTCTATAACCCATCTCTCATGTTCAGAACATCAAATTCTGGCCACAATGTTGTTTCTGAGCCACTTCAATGCATGCATTTCAATCCAAGCATTTACAACCTATTTCTGTATTTCACAGACAGATGTCTGTCAGGGTAATTCAGGTGTGAAGTCAGCTTGTGCACTGGCATCTGCATTTCACATAGTACTTATCTCTCCATTTAACAATATCTTTGTTCTTTTTTTCATTCAGAAAAGTCCTGTGGGCATGTGGCCTACAGTCAGACAGCTGCTGTTCAGGATTTTTAATGTATTCACCACTCTCAGGACAAAATCTTGAAAAGGGAAAGGTTTTTCTGAGTTTCCATTAAAATCTCTGATGTGTACAACAGGGACACCAAATATTATTTACTTTTGCTTGTTTTGTTTTGTTTTGTTTTGTTTCAGTGATGCATTTAGTTTCATTTAAAGGAAAGAAGAGAAAGTGAAAAGTAAAAAAAAAAATAAAAAGTACTGTGTTTGATAATTTCTCCATTTTAATCTTGAAAAGGCTTTGAAATCAGCTGGAGAATGGAAGGGTGGGTAGAACCCCTTCCCAGGACTACTGCTTGCTGGAATCAATTTCAATTTTCTGGAAGACTGGTTTCATACTGCCATATCACATCAGATTACATTCTGATTATTATATCTTTTTGACATTAAGAAAAAAGAGTATTTTGCTAATATTTTTTGCATAATTTACAAAAATATAACTGAATTCAACAGGCTTATTGTTGAAAACCATAAAACCACAAGAAGTAGGAATGTGTTCATAAGTGTATTTCAATGTGACAGCCAAAGCTTTGCCAGCTTTCTCAAAGCTAATCATGTGCTTATTGGTCAGGTTAGAGCTAATTGGCCTCTTCAAAAATCAAAAAAGAGGTAACCACTGAAGAGAAAACCTCCCTTTTAGCTTTTAGCTTTATCTCTAGGCTAGAAAATACCATTAAAATTCCCAGCCATCACTACTGGCTTATGAAGCCATGTTACAGTAAATAGGAAAATATCTTTTTAATTCTGTACTCTTAAAAAAAACTAAAAGAAATCTTGAAAGGTTTTGACCTCAATGCAAAACAAACAAAAAAAAAAAGTTTTAAGCTGAAACTGATGGACATTTCTGCTCCCCATGCACAAAAGAAAAAAAATAGTAAAGGGTTTGTTTTTCACACTGAGTATGCAATATTACAAGACATAAGGAAATCTTTTCTGAAAGTCAGAAACATCTGTAACTACAATTACAATGCCTATAGTACAATATGATTCTGCTATTTAATTGGAGAACTCACTATACAAGACACTTAAAACAGAATCAAAGCAGGCTTTTTTAATCAGCAACATCTATTTCAATCATCTTTATCAAAGACAACATGGGCAACTCCCTGGCTGACAGCAGTGGGACCAGGTTTGTAGCCGATAAGCCACAAGATTTGTCATAACACACCAAAGAAGTGGACTCTGGTCCGATCAGGCATTATATGTTGGCTCTGAGGAGGCAGGGATGCTATCTTGAGACACCAGGTCTGTGGTTGCAGCTGGAAGGGAGCTGGCAAGTTTAGCTCCTTTAACAGCTCCATCTCTGTGACTGCTTATGGGGGTGATTCGAGGGCATCAAGATCTGCTCAAATTCCTCACCAACACCCTCCAACCGCCAAAAGTGGAAGATGGGAGAGGGACCACACATAGCCACTGCTCCTGCCTGTTTACAATTAAAATGTGCTTGCAAAAAATTAACAATGAAAATCTTAGCTGTGTCATATTCGTTCCCTCACACATGAATTATGAGGTGAGCCCTTACTTTTGTAATAGAAATAGAAGTAATAGCCATTCTTGTCTTCTTAGCATGCTGAAAATGGCATTGTGTGAACCACCTGCACCCTATATCTGCTTGCATATATGAAAGCTCCAAATGAAAATTAAACCAATTAAACCAATAGCTATGGGCTGCCTTTGGGCAGTAGCAGTAGCTCCTTAGGTTTCCCTGTGTCTGTCCTCAAAGTAAAGAATTGGTTGCATTTCATCCCCTTGATACATTGAGCAAAAAAATATTTCACAAAGTAGGAAACAGCAGCAAGAGCAAAGTGTTTAAAGTGGAGACTAAAGCAGAGGTTCCAATGTTCTCTGTGCCCCACTCATCACTCATCAATTTGGCGTGGTGTGAGGTGGCAGCATCCATCAAGCTCTGGGCAGCCACCTGTGGCCTGAAGATTTACAGCAAGGCTGGTCACTCTGCACTCCCTTTGTACCCCGTGGGCAGGAGTAAGTACTTCTAGGGTACCAGGTGACTCAGCTGACAAGTAGTTATTAAAATTGCATTGTTCCCTTCAGAGCTGCACTTATTTAATCTCTGTTGTTAAAGAGGATCCAGAATGACTACCTCAGATTTAGGTACCTACGCAGTAAACAGAAAATTGAGAGTCCTTCCACCCCAACTAGGAAAAGCAAACTAGCAAGTGATCTTGTTTTTTTTTCTTTAAAGGCCATGGAATCATGGAATATTTTGGGATGGAAGAGACTAGGAAAGATGCCCTCCTTGATTGGTTGCTTGTTGACAGAGCTCTCATAAGTGAAGTGGTGATTTGTGGCCATTTTGGCCACAGCAACCATGAAGTGTTTGAGTTTAAAATCTATTGACAGAAGTGCCAGCAAAACTTCCACCCTGGACACAAGGAGAACAGGCTTCAGACTGTGCAGGGAATTAGTGAATAAGGACTTGGGAAAATGCATTGGAAGGGGCCAGGGTCCATCAGTGCTGGTTGCTTTTTAAGGACCACCTCCTAAGGGCACAGGAGTAGGCATTCCTAAATGCCTCATTCCTAAAATGAGGCAGAAGACTAGCTTCGCTGAAGAGGGATATTTTGGGGCTAAGGCAAAAAAGGAAGGACCATGGTTCTGAGAATTATAAATTCCCAATCAAATCTGAACTTGTGTGGGAACTGCTGCTCCAGCTGGATCCCTATGAGTCTATGGGGCTTGACAGGATTCCCCCTGCCATGGAGACATTGGAACTAGTAGATGTTTGAAGTTACTACTTAGTTCTTAGTTTTATTTTTTTTCCAAAACCACATCCATTAAAAATTCAGATGGAATACACTGTGGTGTGCTGACATGCTTGCACAAAGAACAAGGATTCTGCTTTTCTGCTTTTTTTGTGGAAGAGCCATTTTGAGGAGTTTCTGGCCTGTTGGGAACTTTAATGAAGTGGAAGAAAAGGACTAGAATGAAAAAGATAAACTGATGCACACATAATCATCACAAGGAAACCTTTAGATGCTCAAAAATGTAGGTTAGTTCATCAGCTATCTTTTATTGGTAATGTTTCTTGACTTCCAGAGTAACACAGGAATTTGCCTCAGCTGACACTACTGCTGCTTCTGAGGGCAATTCCTGCCCCAGTGGTGGTGGCCATGGTGTAGCCAGAACCAGGTGGCACTGCCAGAGCTTCCCTGGAGCAGGGACAGGGGCTTCACCAGGAACTCTTGTGAGTAGCAGAAAAATGCAGTCCTAGTATATTAATTCTATTTCGCATATAGGATTTGGGTTTCTTGATTTTTTGGGGGTTTTGTTTTTTGTTTTTTGGGGGTTTTTTCTGTTCCTAGGATTCCCACAATGATATTTGAGTTTAAATTCTCAAGTGGCAGGTTTTTTTTTGTGAAAAGTTCCTGTCAAAACTGGTTTGTATGATAAAATTTAACAAACTACATTAAAAATAAACTCTGATGCACCTTGCTAATTTATTATATGCAAGAAAGGGTGCATTAATGCCTGGAATCACAGGGACCACATTATCACATGTGTCAACAGATTTTGTGGATTTGGAAGTGACCATTTCCAAACTCTGTACACAGGAGTACAAATTTTTCTGTTTCAGTGGACAAACTGAAACTTTCATTTTTCTACTGGAAAATAGTCAGATGATTGCAAAGTTTAACACTCTTTAGAGAGGCATCTCAG